ACACACCTGATAGCTCTGCATCGAACCTGGGATTCCGCTGTGCAGCCAACCGCCTGCCCACCATGGACTGACAGTTGAGAAGAGCCTTCCCAGATCTAAGAAGTTGTTTCTAACCTGCACTTGGTTTCCCTCAGAACACTGAATAGTCTTGTGCAAAGAAGTCCCACCTTGAGGTGGGTTACAATATCTGCCTAATGGCCAAAGGAACCGTCTTGCGAGACCAAATCACTGACCTATGTCAGTGCATGTGCTTTATTGTGTGGTGCATCTTTGGAGATCATTGCCTTGTTTTACTTTTGTGAACCTTTCAAAGAGAAATGGGAAACCAGAGAACCTTGAACTAGGCTCTTTAGAATCCCTGTGTCTTACCCAGGCTCTGCCACAGGGTTAGACCCCAAGGTCCAGCATGTCACCTGCTTTTGATAGTCTCCCATTGATCAAATGAGATGGACAACATCATCTTTGAGGTTCTTTCTAACTTACAGATTCTATGAGTGATATCAGAATCTATTGTGACTGCATAGTGAGAATTTATTGCAGATTATTTTTTAGCTATTTTGTTCCATGTGTGAAGCTTGGGTGATACTAATCATGTAAAGTAAAAGCTCTCTTATGTATTATTTTTCAGAAAAGGGTGTGGGGGGTGAGTCCTTTGTATTCATATTGCACTTTGTTTTTCCAAGGAAATCAGTGTCTTTCACATTGTTATGATGAATCCCACATGGGCCAGTGATGGTATGCTACAGTTCGGTGCTCTGAACATGCAGGAATGTCTGTGGGGTAACTTTACTGTGCTTTATCTTTTAACATTAAGTGCCTTTGGCTCAGAGGGGCAGTTATAAGCCCTATTACCCTTTCTCCCCAAAGCCTTCTGTGAATGTGAAATATATACTAAATGGGGAATCCTGTTTAATGTAGGTATAGGAGAAAAAGAATGAGGTCCATGAATTAACTATATTCAGGGTACTCAGTATTTTGTAATAGGGAAGTACGAAATGTTGGCTAAGGAATGTCAGATATTTTGAATCATGCACTATGTCAAATAAACTAGTATCTCTAAGACTGGCTTCACTCTCATTGGTTTCTTTTCCTTGTTCCTTCCTCTGTTTCTTTTAAAGAAATGACTTTGTGATTTTTATGGGTTTGGTTTGCTAGAAAACTTTCTTGTCTGTTAGCTGATAGCTTTGATATATTGAGTAGTTTTGGCAGTTTTTGTTTTGAAAACCAAAACTATTCTGTGAGGAATCATGTTACGATCTTGCTTCTTGCCAGAATAGATAATGCAGGGCCAGGGATTTAGCTCAGTGGCACCGCACCTGCCTTGAAAGCGCAAGATCCTGGTACCAAACCAAACCAAACCAAACCAAACAAAACAAATCCCAGAATAGATAATGAAAAGTCAAGGGTGCTGCTCTGCAACCTGACAGCTAGTTCACATGCCAAAAACACACCTTCAGTTTTAGAGGGATGGGTTTCTCCCTAGGATCTCTGTTGTTGGGATCCAGCCAGATTCCTGAGTTTCAGGCATCCCTGAGCCATTTCTAACACATTGCTTGGAGGAAATACTTCTATGTAAGTCAAGTAGTATTTATCAATGTTTAATCAACACTTGATTGCTGCTTTTGTCCATAACCTCTAACATATTAAAACATTTGTCTTGAAAACAATCATGTCACTGGCATATTTAGCCACATTTTTTGGTCAGTCACTTTGTAGATAAAAAATATTTATACAAACTTCCACCTACTGATGATTAATCCCAAGCAAAATGAAGAAACGAACATTTGTAGGAAGTAGCTAATGGAGGAAAGAAGGTATTTTGTTTTTAAAGTTAGCATTACTTCAGTATAGTTTTGGTTCTTTCTTGTTGCCTCCCACCTGCACATATTTTTTACAACATTATGGGATATATATTTTGACTCTTTCTTTTGTTAATTAATTACTGCTATGTAGCATAAACATTTGTGTATTTTGAGGCATCATCTTTAGAACTGCATTTTTAGCAGCAGCATAATATTGTAGAACATTTAAACAGTATCTTAAGAAGTTCTTCATTTAGTAATCACACATCTGTTATCAGTTAAGGGTATACCAGACTACAGAGAGCTATAGCCCCTGTACTTTATAATGTTGCTATAATAATTTTGGTTTCAGTAGCATACACGCATTCCTCCTGAAAAACCTCATCTTTTGCAAGATTGTACACACACACACATGTACATTAGGGACCCTCTCTCTCCTTATTTCTGGAGGTCTACTTACTAATTTTTTTTTTTAATGTTTCAGGGAAGTTTGTCTGATTGTTTCAAATGTATTTCCATCACATGTGATCCAGCATGAGTTCCACATTCTGCTATCTTCCACTTTGTTTACTTATCATTTATGAGTTGTATTTTTTAAAGAAACACTTGTAGCAGAACAGATTGTTTGGTTGATGGTCCAATTCCAGTATTGAAAACCCCCCTCCTTTTTTTCCTTCCCTTCAGTGGCTTTTTTATTGGGTTGATTTCTCCATTTTCATTTTTGGCCCCCATTGAAGCGTGGGGGTAATTTGAGGTTTGTTCTCCAGCCTGTTTTGGGACCAAGTCCTGAATAGTCTTACTTTTTTCAGGTTGTACGTGTTGGTTGAGTGGGAAGCAGGCATATCTTCTTTCTTAAAGCCTTATAAACATGATTAGAAGGGCGGGCCCTGGGCATGCTGGCACATGCCTATAATCCTAACTACTTAGGAGGCTGAAGCAGGAGGATCAAGAGTTTGAGGACTGCCTGAACAATTTAGAACTGTATCAAAATTTATAAATATGTGGAGGGTGTTGGTGGTGTAGTTCAGTGGTAGAGAACCTCTGGTTTTGACCCCCAGTACCAGAGAAAAAGAATATTTTCTTGGAAAATGTCAAATTGAATAGATGCCTCAAAGTCTTCGTGGTTCAGCCTACAAGTTAAAATGGAACTCAGAATTTCATCAATACAGGCTTTTTTCCCCTACCTGTCCCTCACCTTTGTTGGACCAAGCATTTCAGTTGTCCATGTGACCTTTTAGGAAAAACAAGAAACGGAAGGTACTATTTATTTGAATAAGTGTTGAGTGAGGCACGGGTGTGGTGGGGTGGTGGCGCTCCAAAACAATGTGAGGGTGGGTGATCTATTTTTTAGGGACCATCTTCACTGATAACTCTGTTGTTAACATAAAATATGGTAATTACATTTTATCCGCAAGAATCTCAGAATTCTCTTGCTCGTCACCTTTTCAAAAGGGATCGTGATTTTATCCTCAGTTTTCAAGTTGAAAATAGTTTTTCTTTTTCATGTGGTAAAATCCATAGTTGACTGAATGCAAGGCATATTTTGAAGAAACATCATAAACCTGGCACTTTCTTTTCTGCAACTTAAGGCATTTTATACGAGGGACTGGTGTGAATTTTTTTTTTTTAATTTTTAAGTGATACTGTACATATGATTCTCCTTCCCCTTCAACAAATATTAACCTTACCACTAACAGTTTTTCTCATAGAAGGATTAACATGCAAGCTGGCTATCGTGAGGAATTAAGGAGGTGCGGAGCAGGCCGGAAGTATCATTAGGGGAAGCAGGCTGAGTGTGAGGAGAGCCCAAACTAAAGGGACTGCTGCTGTTAGCCCAAACTAAAGGGACTGCTGCTGTTCTGCTCATTGATGGCTGCCCGCTTAAATGTCTGTCATTTAATAAATTTCCAGCTGCCAGGGGTGGCCAGATATTTGCATTTTCATGTCAAGTCTCCTGAGTTCTTAATATTGGCGATGAATTCAGACTTTAAAACGCTATGAAAACCTGGTAAGTTGTTTCTAAGCTACATTATTCAGCCTACGTGGTGCCATTTTGCAACCTATATTATGAAACACTGATTCATTCATGGAGCAGAAAATTTCATGTATTTGTATCTGAAGAATGACGTATCAAGTAAGTAACATGCAAGAAACATACAAGTGTGAAAAAGAGCAGTGACTTGCCCAGGCCTTCACTTTACCCAGAAATTCCTTATAAAACTGTATTCGTCCTCACTGCGCCTCGACCCCACCTAAAGTCATTTACTAACCATGGGTAATATCAGCTGAGCTATTGATGGTCCACTTTCAATCACTTTTAACACTGATTACTAAATTTGCAGACACTGTTGCTATCATTTTATTCATTAAATCTTAATTCTCTATAACATGACTAGCCCAGAGCAGGCCTTGCTTGACAGGCTTGCCAGAATCAGCTGTATTGTTAGCAAAAGTTGGCTTTGGTATTTTCAAATGCTTAAAGCACTGTGGAAATTATCAACTCCATGAGCCTCAAAGGGAGCTTTCTCAGCTGGCCAGAATTCCTTCCTTCCTTCTGACTCTTGTACTTAGACCATTAGAGCAAGAGTTAATTTTTTGAGTAAGCAAAATCATTGTAGCCAATATTCAGGTGGGCTGTGAAGTGAAATATGTCAATATTCTGAAACTTGCCCTATTTAGGATTGCAAAATTCAAGAGATTAGTACCAATGGATGGAATTTTTCAGCTTCAGATCAGAGTCTAATCTGCCCCCAAATGGTAACTGATGCCAAAGTCATCATTATGAGAAGGCTGCTTGGGTTTTTAGAATTAGTCACAATCACAGTTGTCAGGCAACAAGGTGATTCCATTTCAGAGTAATTGAAGGATTGCTCTCCTGTTCCTGGGTCTGAGTAGTTTGACAAACTTCCTTGTTTGCTTTGCTGAAGAAAACTGAAGTCTGATCAGAGCAACTCTCCCAACATGTCAGCTTGGCACCTCAACAGAGTAATGTTAGAAGTGCTGATTAGGGCTTAGTGGAAAAGTGAAACCAGTCAACAGGCTGCCAGCTGAAAAGAGATAAGTCTTTGCTTATCGGGTGGCACCGGTAAAAGGTTCACCTACATTTCCTTTGTGCCCGTGGGGGAGGGCTCTTGTTTGTTGCTTTTTCATAGTTTACAGTTGTATTCCAGACACTTGGAAAATAAGATTTTTATTTACCTTTAAATGACATGGGAAGGATGCTCCTTTAATGTCTTCAATCACTGTCTTTCCAGGCAGTTTGGCATATATAGAGAGACCTGAAACACTGCAGAAAAAGAAAGCATTTACCACAATGTACTTGGATAAGTGCTTCCTAGGTATTTGTTCCTATTAGGAATATGATAATTAAAAGCAGAAGAGGGACGTACTACCCAGATGGGCATGGTCAGCAATAGAGTTATAGCTGTATACAGAGAACAATATGGGCCAAGAGCAAGAAAGAACCACGAGGGCATTTAGCTCATGGTACTGCGTCTGCCTCGCAAGCACAAAGACCTGAGTTCCATCCCTGGTACCAAAAAAAAAAAAAAAAGGCTGCATATGAAAGCATGACCTCAACTGCCATTTTTTAAAAAAGCTGGCATTTCAGATCTCTGATTTTGGAAATAACCATATACAACATGGTTCATTTGTCACACAAAGACTTGGATCTGGTCATTGCTGTCGTGTGTAGTTCTGAAGCTTGTTCTCTCGAATCCATTGAAAATGTCATTTGTGGGCATAACAATAATTAAAGAGGAAGGAAAACAGAAAAGGGAGGGCAGTGTGTTGGCCCATGAGGTGTGTTGGTCAGCCTGTGGAATGTTTTCCGAGCTTAAGCATTTCAGCTCTCGGGAATAGTTGTTGAGGTAGTTTGGCCTCATCATTTAAAATCTCCCTTCTCATTTAATTCTCTGAGACTGTTGGTCCAGGGTCTAGATTCTTCATAAATTAATGATTTAAAACCAGATTGAAAACTCAGAATGGTGTCCAAAGAATAGTTTAGGGTTTGGCAGAACTCACAGGGATTGGTGTAGTAGGTTTTTTCTAGCTGAACAGTTCTCTAAGTGTGGTTTAAGAACGCTGGGGATCTCTAACCCCCTTTCAGGAGATCTGTGAGTCAGCATTACTTTTGTACATAAAGATGTTATTTGCCTTTTTCACTAGTAGTATGAGTGTACAGTGGAATTTTCCAGAGGCTTCATGGTATATAATGTGACAGCTTATAGATTATAAGGTTATGACTATAAGCTGATATTTTTATGTTGAAAAACTCCAGCCTTGTTACTATGTTAAATATCTCTAAATATACCCACATTATAAAAGTTCTTTGGACTCCTCAGAAATATCTAGGAGTGTGAAGGCATCTTGTGATCCAAAAATGTGAAAGATGGTGATCTAGGAGACAAGGTCAGAGAGTGACTGAGTCTGTCTTGGTAGAAAATAAGGAACCCTTCTCCATCTCTTCTGAGGACAGTCAATAATTGATTACAAAGACTGAGTTAAATGAATTGTTAAGAAGCTACCACCAGTGCTGGGGATTTAGCTTGGTGGCACTACGCCTGCTTTAAAAATGCAAGGTCCTGAGTTCAGTCCCTAGTACAGGAGTGAGGGTGGGGGTAGCTACTGAGGGTCATTGTATTTTTCAGAGACAATCATAATGGATCCAGATCCTTGTAGGTTCATCTAACTAGTCACATAGCTAGAATCACTTTGGTATGGAAGGACTGCCCCCCAAAACTTCACAAGTAGTAGGTACATCTTGTGCAAGACTCCTTATTGTAGCCTTCACTCAATGTAGTGTCTTGCTGGGACCCTGGAAGTCATCAACTGTCTCCCCTTCAGGCCACAAAAAAGAAGGGAGGGAGGGGGAGAGAGGACCACAGTGTTCCTTTCTGAAGCAGCTTACTCTCCCTGGTGGAGTCTGTCCTTACCGTGCTGTAATTGTGATTGCTGGACCTCTTCTCTGGTTTGCTTTCCAGCCAGCAATTGTAGGCTCCACTTAGGTGCCAGGTGCTGTGCTGGATACTATTTTCATGGTCTAATTTAATGTGAAACACAGCAGTGGGAAGTGGGTTTTTGTTGCTGTTGTTGTTACTATTCCCATTGTGCACACAGGAAAGTAGGACTCCAAGCATTTACAAAGTGCCCTGGGTAACACAGACAAATGAGGCTGAACTAGGACTCAGCAGTCTTGTGACTTTTGTTCTCATTGTTGTATCAATCTGCAGTTTGGGTTGCATTGTGAGTTTAGAGAGGGAGAGGTGGATTGAATAGAGTAGATTACTGGGGGAAGAGATAGACTCAAAAAGAGAAAGGGCAAAGAACGAGGAGGTGGAATGCATTAGTGGTTAAAAACATGGGCTCTGGAGCCAGACTGTCTAGGTTTAAATTTTTGTCCTGCCACTTAATAGAGTCGTGACCTTGGGTAACCTACAAACCTATTTGTTCTTTAGATTTTTGAAAATCAAGTGGAAGTACTTTTAGAAAAGGTAGAGTTGAGGCAAGAGAGTTAAAATAGTTATTATAAGGTGATCTGTGTGTAAACCTTTGATCCTGTGTGTGAAACCATTCCAAACTTTGAAGGTTAATGCTTACATCTCAGTGAATAAAACAATATGGTAATGAGATATCCAAGTTAAGACAACCCATTCTGGAAAGACATGTTTTCTTTATGTTTCATCCTGAATGTACCACCTCCTTTTACAAAATGATTAGGTGACAAGAAAGAAGTCAACTGTTTTAGAGTTGGAATGGGAGGAGGTTGAGTGTATGGAAAACACTCATCTGCTGGAAATAATGAAGATCAAATGGTGCATTATCAGCTTATTTGTACCAGGCTCAAATACATGAAAAGAATACAGTTGATAAAGAGGGCCGAGATCAGTGTGTAAGAATGAAAGGAGGAGTGTGCTGCAGCATGCCTGTTCTAAAGCAGTCTGGAAAAATGTATGGGGCAACATTCTTGATAAGATTAAATCCCCTGGTGTTTGTGAAACAAGGACACTGTTTCTTATTACTCCTAACTCTGGTGCTAGGTGAGGAACTGGGCATTCTTTCTTACAACACAATTTCAGGGTAGTTTCCAACTCAGTATTTGCTTCTGTTCTAGAACATTTGTAAATATTAAATTCTGTAAAGGGAAAAAAACCTCACCAATATGAGAAGCACCTTCATATTTGTTATTTTATACTTATTTACAACTTTGCTTCAGGTTACATTTAGCAAGCCTAAGGCTGAATCACAAAGCATTTTTAGCTTTGAACAATCCCTTGGAAGGCCAGATCTTCTATCTTCTTGTGTAGAAATGTTCTACCATGAAGTAGCAGTTTAAAATGGTTTTATGCACCAGTCTGTACTGCCACCAACAATGGAGAAGGGTTCCTTTTCCCCCACAACCCCGCCAACATTTGTTATTGTTTGATTTCTTGATAGCAGCCATTCTTTGTGGGGTGAGGTGGAAACTCAGTGTTGTTTTCATCTGCATCTCTCCAATGACCAGTGATGTGGAACATTTTTTCATATATTTACTTGCTGCTTTTACTTCTTTGTCTGAGAAATGTCTGTTCTTTTCAGATGCCCACTTTTGAATCGGGTCTTTATATTTGGGGGGGTCTGATTGTTTTGAGTTCTTTATATATTCTAGATAATAGTCCTTTGTCTGAGGAGCAGATGCTAAAATTTTTTTCCCACATTGTAGGTTGTCTCTTAGTTCTGTTGATGGTTTCTTTTGCAGTGCAGAAGCACTATGGAAATCAATATGGAGATACCTCAAAGAGCTGGGCATAGAGATTACATTTGACCCAGACATCCCTCTGCTGGGTATCTTTCCAAAAGAATTAAAAGAATCATAGCACAGAGATATATGTGCACCCATGTTTATAGCGGCACAATTTGTAATAGCTAAAACTTGGAAACAGTCCATTTGCCCATTAGTTGGAAACTGGATAAAGAAGATGTGGCTTTCCTATAAAATGGAATACTACTCACCATAAAGAACAAAAAACTGGAGACATTTATAGCCGAGTGAGTGCAAACTGAGACCAAACTCTTAAGTGAAATTAATAGGACACACATGTGTAAACTGAATAGTTTCTCTGGTGTGAATAAACTGTAATAGTACATAAGATCCTAATGAGATAATTGACAACATGAAATAGGAAGAAAAGGGCTAAAAGTTTAGGGAAAGTGGCAAGGGTAGGGGAAAGATAATAAGGGAAAAGAAAAAAAATAGGAGAAAATGAAAAAATGGAAATAAAAGTGTTTGTAAATGCAGAGGGGAGGAGGGGGTGAGGGGAGGGCAGGGACAGGTGGAAAAATGAGAACCAAGACCTGTACAAGATCCCAATGTAACTGTACTGTATACCTAAAATGTACCAATAAACTCAATGAGGAAAAAAAAAAGAAAATACTCTCATTCAGTTTGAATAATCTTTTTATGGCTAAGAAACATTTAAATCTAATTAACATTAATATTTCCTAATTTTGAATTTAATATTGATTTCCAAATAAAATGTTTATTTTTATGTTAAAAAAAATTAAAATGGTTTTATGTGCAGTGTTCTCCCTCTAGTGGCTAGATTAGTTTTTTTTTTAAATTGTTCATTTCTACAGTTTTTGTTTTTATTTTTGTTCTGATTTTTTACCAATAATCTCTCAAGATGAAGAACATTTTTTATTTAGGGTGTTGTGAGGGTGAGGAAGAGGAAAAAAAAAGGAGAGGATGCAAGCCTTTATTCCATAGGTCAAACAATATTCTAACTGTTGCAGTTGCTAGCTCTTATGAGGAAGAGAAGCTGGGCATAATGGCACAGTGTAATTCCAGCACTCTGGACACTGAGGTAGGAGCATCGCTGTGAGTTCAGTGCCAACCTGGGCTACATAGTGAATTCAAGGCTAGACTGAATGATACAGCAGGACCCTTTTCTGAAAGTAAAAGAAAAAGAAGAGGAAAAAAAGAGGAGACAGTATCATCTGTAGAGGGGAAGAGAGTTCTGCAATAATTTCTCATCTTTTTGCTTCATGAATTTTCTTAGTTTAAGAATTATATCCTTTCTGGCCTGGGGATTTAGCTCAATGGTGGCATGGCTGCCTGGCAAGTGCAAGGTCCTAAGTTCAATTCCTGGTAAAAAAATTTTTTTTCTATCTACTAAATTTCTTTTTAAAAATCTATATTATTATTTTTAAATTTTCAAAGCAATAAAATGCATAAGGTAAAACTAGAAACTAAAAAAATGAAGAGCAAAATATAATTTGAAACCTCTCATTCTGTGAGTTCTGGTCTTC